CAGTTCGCAAGGGCTCACCAAAATTGGACAATAGAAGATTGGAAAAAGGGTTCCTGGTCTGATGAGTCACAATCTCTGCTGCAACATTCAGATGGTAGGGTCTGAAATTGGCATAAACAACATGAAAGCATGGATCTATCCTGCATTGCATCAACAGTTCAGGCTGCTGGTGGTGCTATAATGGTGTGTGGAATATTTTCTTGGCACACTTTGGGCTCCTTACTACGTATTGACCACCGTTTAAGCGCACACAGCTTACCTGAGTACTGTTGCTGACCATATCCATCCCTTTATGACCACACTGTACCTTGTGATGCCTACTTCCAGCAGGATAATGTGCCATGTCACAAAGCTCAAATAATCTTAAACTGTTTCCTTGAACATGACAATGAGTTCACTATATTCAAATGGCCTCCACATTCACCAGATTTTAGAGCACCTTTGGGACGTAGAGGAATGGGAGATTCACATAAATGATGTGCAGCCGACTAATCTGCAGCAACTGTGTGATGCTATGATGTCAAACGGGACCAAAACCTCTAAGGGATGTTACCAGCACCTTGCTGAATCTATGCCACAAAGAATTAAGGCAGTTCTAAATGCAAAAGGGGTCCAGTGAGTTTATATGTTTGGAACAATGATTTCATATAATCCCATGTAATTTGGTGTTTGAAACCAAGATACAAAACCGTACAAAGCTTCTGGGAAAAAAACACACACAGTTGTTTATATACTTATTCTGACTGCTGTAATTAATTAAAATGTAATTAACAAATATATGAATAGTGTTTAAAGATTTTGACCTGGCACTCTGGCCAGTGATTTCTTTTTCTCACAAACATGCATAATATAAACCCTGTATATTAAAAAAAAACTGTTTCCCAGCAACCTCTATTCCTGCTGTCAGACAATCTGATTGGAACTTTTTGATTGCAACTGCTTTCCATTTTTGTGTGAAATATACATCTGATGGTCAGTAAATGGATTTTGAGCAGTCTGTGGCATCTGTCAATGTTTTTGAAAATAAAATTGTACCATTAATGTTGTGCAAGTAATTCAAAGCAAAAGAAACTTATATATTAATAATGCATATCATGTTCCATGTTTTGGGAAAGTTCAGAAAATGAAATCCATTATTAATTTTTGAGAAACTGAAGCTACAGTTCGCAAGGGCTCACCAAAATTGGACAATAGAAGATTGGAAAAAGGGTTCCTGGTCTGATGAGTCACAATCTCTGCTGCAACATTCAGATGGTAGGGTCTGAAATTGGCATAAACAACATGAAAGCATGGATCTATCCTGCATTGCATCAACAGTTCAGGCTGCTGGTGGTGCTATAATGGTGTGTGGAATATTTTCTTGGCACACTTTGGGCTCCTTACTACGTATTGACCACCGTTTAAGCGCACACAGCTTACCTGAGTACTGTTGCTGACCATATCCATCCCTTTATGACCACACTGTACCTTGTGATGCCTACTTCCAGCAGGATAATGTGCCATGTCACAAAGCTCAAATAATCTTAAACTGTTTCCTTGAACATGACAATGAGTTCACTATATTCAAATGGCCTCCACATTCACCAGATTTTAGAGCACCTTTGGGACGTAGAGGAATGGGAGATTCACATAAATGATGTGCAGCCGACTAATCTGCAGCAACTGTGTGATGCTATGATGTCAAACGGGACCAAAACCTCTAAGGGATGTTACCAGCACCTTGCTGAATCTATGCCACAAAGAATTAAGGCAGTTCTAAATGCAAAAGGGGTCCAGTGAGTTTATATGTTTGGAACAATGATTTCATATAATCCCATGTAATTTGGTGTTTGAAACCAAGATACAAAACCGTACAAAGCTTCTGGGAAAAAAACACACACAGTTGTTTATATACTTATTCTGACTGCTGTAATTAATTAAAATGTAATTAACAAATATATGAATAGTGTTTAAAGATTTTGACCTGGCACTCTGGCCAGTGATTTCTTTTTCTCACAAACATGCATAATATAAACCCTGTATATTAAAAAAAAACTGTTTCCCAGCAACCTCTACTCCTGCTGTCAGACAATCTGATTGGAACTTTTTGATTGCAACTGCTTTCCATTTTTGTGTGAAATATACATCTGATGGTCAGTAAATGGATTTTGAGCAGTCTGTGGCATCTGTCAATGTTTTTGAAAATAAAATTGTACCATTAATGTTGTGCAAGTAATTCAAAGCAAAAGAAACTTATATATTAATAATGCATATCATGTTCCATGTTTTGGGAAAGTTCAGAAAATGAAATCCATTATTAATTTTTGATGTGGCTGTAGTAGTTCTCTTTGGTTGACTCTGTGAATTCTGTCGGAACATTGTCTTCCCAGAATGTTGCCTTGTTTGTGTGAAATAACTTTTATTTGTTTATAACTTGAGAGGTGTGCAGCTGTGTACATACACAAACATGGCCCTTTTCATTGCAACACTTGGTTTGGGTCATTAGTCACCTTTTTCCATTTTGTTTGTTTAATGGAAAAACAGTATTACAGAAATGTTTTCCTGCAAAGTTTAAAGGGGTCATATGATGCTTTTTTAAAGATCATTATTTTGTGTATTTGGTGTAACAGAATATGTTGACATGCTTTAATGTTCAAAAAACACATTATTTTTCAAATACTGTACATTACACAAAATAATGGTCTTTAAAAAAGCATCATATGACCCCTTTATTTGCCAACAACGTAAATCTCCTCGCTACTTCCTGAGAAGTGTTGACACAGTTCAGCAAAAAGACACCAAAATAAAATAAGGATTTCTTTAACCCTATAATTGCCTTTCTGGATATCAAAATGAACTCAAGAGGGTTCACAAAAGAGAAAATTATATGCATACTGCTCTTCACTGAACAGGCACTTATTTAGCATGTAAAGTAAAACTTGTTTATTTGAGAAAATTTGAGGTAGAGTAATCCAAAACGATGTGTCCAACACAAACTTGTATTGACTGTTTTTTTAAGTCCAATCCATGTGGCTATAGTTTTTGTTCGTACCCTGGCTCCATTTAGCCCTCTCTCTAAACCCCCCAAAACTGGCCTTTCTTGCATAAGACACCAGAAACTACCAGACTAAGGTTCCCCACACTCAAAATCCACAAATAGTTTACGAAAATCAAATGGAATGTACACTCCACTTTAAACAGCCATCAATTTTCAAATAAATAGCAGTGGTCTTTCTACTACATACATAATACATGCACAAGAACCATTTGGACCACATCTTTTTCTCGCTCTCTCTCCAATATAGCCTGTAGTATTTTAAGCATATTCTTTTACAGCCTCACTGGGTTTATAAGCTTGAGTATGAAAACTATTCTAACAAACGGCAAGGGAAAATGTCAGAGAAATCACATTTTAGTAAAATTCATGGTGTTTTAAATGTAGAGAGACAAGTGTTTTTTCAACCATGGTACTGCAAAAATAAAATGCACAATCCTGTGAACAGTCAGAGCCATATCAGTATAATGCATTTTGGTCCCTGTGAGAAACAGTACCATAACTTATAACCTGGTAACAAATTCTAAAACGGACTACAATAAGCATTAAAATATCTACAGTTAATTTATAAAAAATAAAAAATAAATTAAATTTGATAACATTCTGGAAAACAGAGATCAAAACAAGAACAGCTTTAGATATAAAGGCCAAGTAGTAGTAGTAATAATTTCAGGTGCAAACTTCGGTCTCTAATCAAACAAGGATTCCTGCCAGAATACGATATTACAAATCGGTTATAAAGAGATACTGGCAGTGAGAAAGCTAAAAAATTGTGGCATAAACCGACCCAATGTGCGCTTCTATAACCAACAAACAGGGAAGAGGATCCATCTAGTGCAAGGGTGTCAAACTCAATTCCTGGAGGGCCAGAGCCCTGCAGAGTTTAGATTTATCCCTAATTAAACACACTTGATCCAACTAATCAAGTCCGTCAGGCTTATTTGAAAACTACATTGATGTGTGTTGAAGCAGGGTTGGAACAAAACTCTGCAAGGCTCCGGCACTCCAGGAACTGAGTTTGACACCCCTGACTAGTGTAATCCCTCATGGAATAATGAACTCAAAATACAAGGCGTCAGTAAGATATTTCATTACTGAAAATGACGCTTCAGTCCAGTATTTCACTTGTATTTCACAGGCTCGTCACCCTCTTCGTTGAGCAGACATGTGCGTACAAGAGCTTCAGTGACTGCATACGGATCGCAGTTGGCTGAGGGACGACGGTCTTCAAAGTAGCCCTTCATTTCCTGGCCCACAGATCGTGGGATTCGGATGCTAGCACCACGGTTAGCCACTCCAGCGGAGAACTCATTGATGTTGGAGGTCTCGTGATGGCCGGTCAGTCGTCTGGCATTGTCCAGCCCTCCTTTAGGATCATAGGCACGAATATGGTACTGGTGTCTCTTAGCAAGCCTCTCAATTGACTCCTCAATGTATCTAAAATAAAAGTAAATCGATTAGCATAACTAATGACCATTTTATGTCAGTGCTACAGTGTGGATCCTAGGCAGTATGGAAGATTCTAGGCTCTCTTTTACACACTTACTTCAAACCCCCATCCTCGCGCATCTCCTTTGTGCTGAAGTTGGTGTGGCAGCCAGCTCCATTCCAGTTCCCTGGAATGGGCTTGGGGTCGAAAGAGGCCACAATGCCAAAGTCCTCACAAACCCTGTGCAGGAGGAAGCGGGCGATCCACAAATGGTCTCCCATCTCAATGCCCTCACAAGGGCCAATTTGGAATTCCCACTGTAGAACAAGACAACTTAAGCAACTAATTTTTTGAAAGTTGATTGCAGTGTATTGTACCACACACACACACACACACGATTCCTTAGAAGCATAAAACACTCAATGTATCTAAAATAAAAGTAAATCGATTAGCATAACTAATGACCATTTTATGTCAGTGCTACAGTGTGGATCCTAGGCAGTATGGAAGATTCTAGGCTCTCTTTTACACACTTACTTCAAACCCCCATCCTCGCGCATCTCCTTTGTGCTGAAGTTGGTGTGGCAGCCAGCTCCATTCCAGTTCCCTGGAATGGGCTTGGGGTCGAAAGAGGCCACAATGCCAAAGTCCTCACAAACCCTGTGCAGGAGGAAGCGGGCGATCCACAAATGGTCTCCCATCTCAATGCCCTCACAAGGGCCAATTTGGAATTCCCACTGTAGAACAAGACAACTTCAGCAACTAATTTTTTGAAAGTTGATTGCAGTGTATTGTACCACACACACACACACACACACACGATTCCTTAGAAGCATAAAACGTGTTGCTTATTATCCGTTACCCCAGTAGGAAGACTTTAGAAGCTTTTACCTGTGCAGGCATGACTTCAGCATTGGTGCCACAGATTTTTACTCCAGCATACAGACAGGCTTTATAATGGGCTTCTACAACATCTCGTCCATAGGCCTTATCAGCTCCCACGCCACAGTAGTATGGACCTAAATCAAACAAATCCTATTAAATTTCCTTAAACAAGTTTGAAAACCACTTAACCTCGTATACATAGGTGACATCTACCTTGAGGTCCAGGGAAGCCATTGGAGGGCCAACCAAATGGATGACCATCTGTGCCGAGAAGAGTGTATTCTTGTTCCATTCCAAACCAAGGATGCTGGTTCAGCACCATACCCATGATCTTTTTACACATCTGGCGAAGGTTGATTTCTTAAGAAAAAACAACAACAACAAAATGCAACGTTTAATGTGACATCACCTGGATAATAATCATCTGATATCGCTTGTGGTTTTTTATATCTACCCACCTGCAGGTTTGTGGTTGTATTTGAGGACTTCACAAAGAACCAGTCTGTTGGGGTCCTTCCTGAAAGGGTCTCTGAACATGGCTTGTGGGATCAAGTACATGTCACTGTTGGACCCCTCTGACTGGTATGTGCTGGAGCCATCAAAGTTCCATTCAGGAAGATCTACAGGACACACAGAAGAAAAAAAACAACTCCTCAGTTTTGCAACAGTGATGGAGGTTCGGTTAACAACTTTGCATTATTTAAAATTAAAGACAGATGAGATAACTTGAACATAACTACCTTCAATGGTCTTAGGTTCTGAATCTAGAGTCCTGGTCTTGCATCTCAATCCCTCTCCGGTACCATCAATCCAGATGTACATAGCCTGAACCTGGTCTCCCTGAGGGAGGTCCATATACTGCGGTTTCACAGCTTTGCTCAGCATGGAACTGGCTGAAGTGGCCATGGTGGTGCTATATCAAACCTATATCAGAAGACAGCGTTGTAAACACACATATCAAACCATTTAGGAAAAAAAAACACACAAATCTAACTCAGGCTGACAGAGCTCAAGGACTCAAGGAAACCCCTATTATCAAAAACAGAAACGTGGCCGGTAGAGCCGCTCAGGTCCATTAGGCAATAACTCAAACAATTGAAGTCACAAGAGCGGAGCGTCTCACGATCAATTTACTGAAGTTAATATGGTCATTGTGTACGAATTTAACGAAATCAACGTCATTACCACGGACCACACAACATAACGTTCAGAGGGAGCTCAGAAAACCGTGGTGTAAACACTATTCAAGTAGGCCATTTAAATGCTAGGCATAATGCAATGTACTGATGCAACATATTGCTGTGATGACATCAAAATTGAAATACACAGCGGTTCCGCACAACACTTAATTAAATTATAAAGTCCTCGATTTTAACTTAATAAACATAAAATCACTCATTTAAAACCTTCAGATTAAAGCAAGCCATTTAAACCTCGTTTAATCATAACATGCACTGCTGCCACTACAAACGCAAATGTTTTGCTCAATCTTGAAGATACATACCTATCAACGAAAATAAATAGTCACTATACGAGTCCCAGTGTTTCCAGAGGGTTTTAAAAAAGAATCCTGTGTGCTTGTCTCTCATCATCCTAACAAACAGCTTCTTCTTCTTCTTCTTTTTCTTCTTCTTTTGGAGTTTTTTTCATTCCCGCCACCTACTGGGCTGGAGTGTGGACCATTGATGGAATAGGAAGAACAAAAAAAAATAAAAACATTTTTTTTTTAATAAATACATAAAAAATATTTAATAATAAATAATATAATAATAATAGAAAATAATATCAACAAGAAAACTATGAAACCAGTTAAACATACTTCCTCCAATCTAACAAACAGCTTTGCGTTGGCCGAACTTTTAAAGCGGGGTGCAGATCCCTCCGCTCCTGATTGGATGGAGTAAAACCATAAGCAAAACGTGTTTTGAGCATGGCTAGGTGACGTTATGTTAAAGAGGCATTTCATTGGACACCATTGAAAATATGCTGTTCATCCGCACGCATTTCAGGAAGGATGAGTCTTTGTTAGACAAAGAACGTCAAGTGGCCTGTTGGTGTAAATCATTTTACATCATCTTTAATAATGAGTTGAACATAAACGTCTGTGTACTGACCAAGACACGGTTTTATTTTATAGCTGCTGCCAGTAAAACGACTATCGAATTCAAGAAAAACAGGCAAAACCAACTATCGATCACGCCCCCTAGTGGTGTTGTGGAATCAGCACGATGTGTGCAACTCAATGTTTTGTACGAGAAATGGACTTGTCTTCAGAAATCCACAATAAATTGTGTAAAATACACAGCTCGACATGAATGAATGAACGAAATAACCCTTCTCTGGTTTGAGTGAACTGACAGGTTCACAATGAATGGATATTGTCCCGTTTCAGGGAAATTCACCTTGGACAAGCATGGCCTGGCCAATGCACAACGTAAAGCTCACATAAAACTCACACAAACTCAAATTCAAAAACTATAACAGCTGTGTTAACATCATGTTTTAAATATGATGAATTTTGCAACATCGGCAGTTTTTGAACTGGATTTAAGCAACATTAAATTGACTCGAGCTGAATAAGGACTCTACAAAATTGCTTATATAAACTGAACTAATTTCATAATTACTGTAATGAACTATACACATTAAAACTGAACTGAACTAAATTGAACTGAAAACTGAACTGACTTGAGCTGAATAATGACAATATTGTCTTTGTAGAGCTGCTTTAAAGGAACATTTAGATTTGTCTCATAATTGATGAAGTTTGCATCATTGAATCTGTTATTTTCCTGTTAATTACCTTGAATCTATCTTGAAACAGTCTGTATTGTATACTACTAGGCTAAAATTATAATACAATATTATAACTAAAAAAATGTTGCATGCCAATTTCTGCTTTGGTAGGCATATTCTATAAGTAACATGACCAAGCCACTAGCCAGCAATCAGAATGACTAATAATAATACTAACTAATGAATTAATACTAATAATACATAATTAATAATATGTCATTCATTTAGTTAATAGAGAGTAAAAATAAAGGTGGAGAGATCCCTTTGTGTTGTGATCAACAGAACGAAAACTCAATCAATTGAGAGGTATGTCCACAAGGTGTCGCTATACGCTTTATTTATTTCATGCTTTCGAGACTAAACCGACACCTGAGATCCAGCATTTACGACACACACACACACACACACACACACACACACACATATGTTGGGTTTCCATGTTTTATGGGGACATTCCATAGGCGTAATGGTTTTTATACTGTACAAACTGTATGTGCTATTGCCCTACACCAACCCTACACCTAAACCTACCCCTTACAGTAGACTTTGTGCATTTTTACTTTCTCAAAAAAACTCATTCTGTATGATTTATAAGCTTGTTTCCTCATGGGGACCTCAAAAATGTCCCCACAAGGTCAAAATTTACTAGTATTACTATCCTTGTGGGGACATTTGGTCCCCATAACGTGATAAATACCAGGTACACACACACACACACACACACACACGCAGTGAAAGATATCTGAACTATCTGTCTTAGAAATATTTACATTGCTATTTATCAAAGAGCTACAGAGAACGCCCATTGTTTTTATTAAACTAAAGAGTTTTACCAACTTAAAGCATTGCATTGAGTACAATACCGTAAAATACCGTAATACAAACACATTTACAAGACCCCCTCTCCCTCTTTTTTTCGCTGTCTCATTCACATGCACACAGAGTGTAAGCCACTGTCCAGTGACGTAGAGCTGGGTGACTCATTGCCCATCAGAAAAAAAAGAGACATAGCCTCCTCTGACCCGATCCAGTCTAACCTCAACGTAAGCGTCACACCAAACCCTCAAACCAATCTCATCTGTATGACAGGACTCTTGTGTAAATACCAAAGCAAGTGGAATGTGAATTTTAATACCCGCTTTTTATAGTCACAAAGACCACCTAGTTGTTTCAAAACCTAGCAAGCTTTAACTTTTGCTCTCTTAGACAACTTTTTAGATTTAATAACCTTCCAAAGATGTCGAAAGAGCCACAGTGTGGAATACAGCAGGGAGTGAATCACACAATGCCATTGTCCTGTCAACCAGGCAGAAGTGTGAGGAATATGTTTCCTTAATTAATGCACAGAGACTAATGAGCCAGGAGGTTAGAGCTCAGCAAGCAGGCCAGTTTTCTGATCCTCCTCTGTGGGATAATTACTCAGTTGGGCTTGAATATGAATATTGCTGTGGTTACACAGAACTGTCAATGCAGTGCAGTCGCACTTACTGTAAACTAACCAAAGCGTTCAAGTGCAGTTAACCACTGCCTCAGTGTCATGGTAACAGTCTCAAAAAATTAGAGGTGTTAGACATGATGGGGTGGGAGTTGTCGTGGTCTGTCGTTTGCTCTTCGGGGCCAGGATGGCCGTTCTGTTTTCTGTTGGCAGTCCTGTTGTTTTGGATCTTTAGTTGAACACTTTTCTTGTTTCATAATTGTGTATAGCTATAAAAAATACTTATTTGGCAGCTTTTGAATACGCTCACAGTCCTACATGACTTGTAACATCAATTTCCTGAGCTGGTTTTAAATGCTAATGTTAATACGTAATGTTCTCACACCCTTCAATTTCCTGTGATCAGTGAAACCTGTGGGTGAGTCATCATCAGACTCTGCAATGCACCACAATAACCTATACTCAGGGAGGGTGGAGACTGACAGAAGCTTCCCATAAGAGCTTTGGTTCAAACACAGACACAAACTTAGATCAGACATAGGCTGGTGTTGACTGGATAGTGGGCATTTCTGGTGTGCTTTTGTTTGTTTTCTTGTTTGTTTTGCTGTTGTACACAATACACACTGGATGAGCAGACTCTCGCGGCAAGGAACATGCCCAAAGCAGGTTGGAAGCTTGATGTGAAATCAAAGAGGAGTTTATCTCACTCTGTTCTAGCTCTTTGTAAATGGTAACGCTATTGGGAAATCAGATCATGACTGCAACTGGTTGCTTTACTGTTATACATGATGACGGAGAAAGAAAGTGGCTAGATTCCAGTCTGAGGAGGAATGAGGCATTAAGTTTTCCTTGATGCCAATTTCTGTGTTAAATTAATCAAAGGACTCACTAAGTTACACTGAGTGCAAAAATTATCAAAATTGCTTAAGATATCAAACCTAGTTTTTAGAGAATATTTAGGCTATATCTTGTTTTCTAGAAAAATATACTGTTAAATGTTAAAATAAGATATATTTATAAATTCTTATGTTAAGAATTAGATTTAGATAGGTTTGTGATGAAAACAAGAAAAACCTCAAAATACTGTATATTCTCCTAAGACAAGTCTTAGTTATTTAGGCAATTACAATACAATCCATACTCAAAATGGAATGTGATTAAACACTCATATTACCATGGCAACCTTCTTGTTGCAATAGTCAGATAAACAACTGGATCTCTCAGAACCTGGTGGTCAGTATTCTACAGTATTGCATGTGACCAATATGCATATATATTTTGCATGATAATGATAGCATTTGCAAGTCATTCAGGTACACAAAAATGTGAGGAAGATAAGCAGTGAGATGGAGTGTCTGACAGCACCTTGAATCTAAATAAATGGATTATCACACTGGCTGTGTGCACTTGGACTCCAGGGTACCTCATTGGCAGGGAGCACCCAAAAAAATAAAAAATAAAACCTGGGAAGAATCCATTTATTTGCAGCATAAAACACATTTATCATGGTGAATCTAAGGTTTATTTTAGCCCTGAGTACAGGAGCCTGAGACATGGTTCTTTGGTGAAATGTTCAGAACAAATCTGTAAACAGCTGAAGTAGAATATAAACTCTTTTATTTAAACATATTCATAGATATTTTACAGATTAACAACTGTCCTGCTTCACTGTAGGGAAATGTGCAGCTGACTGGTCCAGGTGGGATTGTATAGATATGTGAATAGAGTATGAAGGGATTTCATAAACAGCATAAGTGAATAAGACTGACGGACGTGCTGGTGTCATTAATTAGGGAGACAGACACCCTTGGGTTATTAGCATGCATATTTCATGGTATCGGAGTGTAGCCTGTCCTAAGCAAAGATATAATAAGAGATAATAAGTGTCATTCTAAAACAAGAGATGGAGCCACCTGGAAAACTATGCAAATCATTTTTAGTGTGCAAAGCATAATTTGTCATAAACAAACATGTTGTCCTTCTTTCATAATTAAAATATAAATTTCATAATGTCTGATCTAAGATGACAATCAATTGGAACATCTAAAAAAGCAGACTGTTCGGAGATTCATGATTTGAAACAATCTGTATTTTACAGTAATACATTACATAGACTATATCGCTTTTCAGCTTAGAACAATGATTTATATATAATTGTTTTTCCTGAAGCAACTGACAGTAAGATAAGCAATTTGTGGTAAAAAATATATATATATTAGAGACAAAACAACTTGGTGGAAAAAAATGAACAAAAAACATGGCAGCTTAATTTTATTTATATTCATTATACCATTGAAAAGTTTGGGGTCAATAAGATTTTTTGATGTATTTGAAATAAGTCTCTTATGCTCACCAAGGCTACATTTATTTGATAATATTGTAAATA